TAAAGCGCAGAAAAACTTGTAAAAAGGCATTAAGGGAACCCCCCCCCCATTCTCGATTTTTTATTTTTAAGATTTTAAATGGGCTGGTAAATGAATACCAATGCTTGTTAAGGTTTGTAACTTCGCACATATATATTTGAAGATTTAAAAAAGAAGAAAAATAATTTACAAAAAATTTTTGTTGTTGTTTTGTTGTTGTTTTTTGTGACCAAAGAAAAGTCCTTATTTTTGATGGCGGGCATGATAACTCCTCACTGGAACATCGGAATCCGAAAATTCCAACGGTGTTAGAAAGAGTACATGTCTGGCTCTCGTATGAACTAGGATTATTGACTTCGCTCTAAAATTAACAAAATGGCGGAACTTTGAAAAAAAATTTTTGGAAAATCGCCGATTTTTTACCAAAAACCAAGTTAAAAAATAAGGAAGATCTTCACCGATTGGCTTTATCCTAGTTCATACGATAGCTATACACTCACAGAGAAACGTGTAAAAATTTGAAATCGATTGGGTTATTAGTTTTTGAGTTATCATGCCCGCCATTCGCAAAAAAATGTTTAGAGAAAAACGCGTTTAAAGTTTGAGAAGCCCTTCAGCCGTCACTTGATGCTGCCACAATAAATCGGCTATATCTTCAAGAGTTCTTGAGATTTTTACTTGAAATTTTGCAGGGACATTCTTGAATTAGTGTAGATTGGAATTAAGTCAACGAAAATTTTGACCCCGAGAATGGGGGGAGGGTCCCCTTAAATTCGGCCGGGCCGAACTTTTTATACCCTCCACCACGTGGGATGCATTCAAAATTTCTTAAGTCAAAAAACCAGTAAGGAAAGTAGTAAAGTCGGACGGGGCCGACTATATGATACCCTTCACCACTATGGGTATATTAAACAGGACTATTATAATGAAATTGGATGAAATAAAATATGTGATATTTGTCTAAATATGTATCGACCTAGATCTATCCATTGCAATGGGACAAAAGTATGTAAATCGACTTCAAACAAATATCCGTTGTCATCCGTTGGGCTACATCTGTACTTCTAGAAAACGCAACTACGTTATTCTATACTCAATTTTGTACATTGTGCAAAATTTGATGTTCATCTGACACACATGAGGAGTTTGATGCACAATTTACCTAAAATCGGACGAAAATTTATATAGAAGCTATATCCAAATATGAACCGATTTCAACGAAACTTGCCACAGGTTAGGTTATACTAATTTCAGTACGTTGTGTTCCTATCAGCCATATACTGGTTCCTTGGTGCGTCAATTACTTTAAACCAATCTATAATATAAGGGAGCTCTATCTAAATCTTAATCGATTTTCAGAAAACTTGGCGCACATCATTCTGGATTAAATTCAGTACGCTATGCAGCATAAGAACTTTGGTACATTATTTACATTAAATCGGACGAAAATATGTATATCTAGATATGAACCGATTTTCACGAAACTCAGCACACATCATTCCAGCATCAATTCAGTACACTATCCCAAATTTCGTGCAAATCGAGAGATATATAGGGTCTTTGGTGCACCATTTACATTAAATCGGACGAAAATATATATGGGAGCTATATCAATATTTTAACCGATTTTCACGAAACTTAGCACACATCATTCTATACTCAATTCAGTATGCTGTGCCAAATTTCGTGCAAATCGAAAGATATTTAGGGACTTTCGTGCACCATTTACCTTATATCGGACGAAAATATATATGGGAGCTATATCTAAATCTTAACCGATTTTCACTAAACTTAGCACATATCATTCTAGGTTCAATTCAGTACACTTTGCCAAATTTCGTGCAAATCAAAGGATATATAGGGACATTGGTGCACCATTTACATGAAATCGGACGAAACTATATATGGGAGCTATATCTAAATCTGGACCGATTTTCACGAAACTTGGCAGACATCACTGTAGGCTCTATTCAGTACGTTATACCAAATTTCAAATCGAGATATTTATATAGGGACTTTGTTGCACCATTTACATTAAATCGGACGAAAATATATATGGGAGCTATATCTAAATCGGAACCGATTTTTCCCAATTTCAATAGGGTTCGTCCTTGGGCCAAATAAGTGACATATGCCAAATTTCATCCAATTCGGATTATAAATGCGACCTGTACTCCTAGGCAGATTTGATAGCTAAAGGGAATCCAAAATACCAAATTACAGCTGATTCCCTCGAGAAGCGTGTTTCAAATCCCCAGAATACCAAATAATGGGTGGTACCGTTATATGGGGGATGCCCTAAAATGCCCAATATCGATCATTTTCTGTAGGAAGATATGATACCCAATGAGAATCAAACGTAGCAAGCTACAGCCAATATGTCTTAAAAATCCCCATAATACAAAATATTTGGGAGTACTATTATATGGGGGGCTATACTAAAACGTGAACCGATATACCCCACTTGCAATACCAACCATCCCAGGAGTAATATCAATGTCAACGCAAAATGTCAAAGCTGTATCTCAAATATTGCGATATATCCCAACGGTAATTAGAAAAATTAGATTTTTTACGAATTGTCGGTAATTTGGTATTTTATATTCACATCGGGTAGAATATCTTTCTTCTAAAAAATATCAATATCGGTTCACTTTATTAAGGTAACCTACCGATTATTGGTATTTTGTTTCGTTTTTTAACCGAATTAGCTGTAATTTGGTACTGTGGATTGCCATTGGCCGAACTGGTTGCAATTATGTGTTTTAGATTCTAATCGGGTAGCAAATAATATCATATTTTTTTGAATTTCCACCTCATGTTTTGTTTTTAAATATTTTTTCAGGGACCAAGAAGTGTGTATTTTTTAAAAATATTATTTTTGAGGACTAATGAACAAAAAAGCGTCGATTCTAAGAACAATTTTTAAGATTATTTTCGTTTTAAGATTAAGTTTCTAAATTTCTAAATATTTGTGTATTGCCAGACCTAAAGCATTTTCCTTTTCTACTTCGTCCTTTGCATTCAATTTTATTTCAAATACTTCAAGTATTTCCGTTTAATGTTCATGTACACAGACATACATTCAAAAAACACTCTTTCATGTACATGTGGTATCCTTTATGTTCTGGGTTTCGTGTTAAAAGGGATAAATAGTTTTTAAGATTTTCGTTTTTCTTTATGTTTTGAACACCACATTTCTTAACAAATTTTACATGAAAGAATCTTGTTTTCAGTTTTTTTTTGAAAAGCACCAAATGTGTCAATACTTATATTTAAACGATGATTTTGTTGTTGTATCTTTACATATGTTCATAATAACATCATGTATGTATATAATGACCTTGAACTGGAATATTATTTTGTTTATGAATAAAAAACATTGAAAGTTATGATGTTTACAAGACATTGCGGTAGGAAGGTTGGAGAGGTATGAATTTTTTGTGGCCATATTGTTCACATAAACGACACTTGGTATTTTTTCTGTAATTGGGGTGTTTTTCATTTAATCATTGTATCTTTATTAGGCAAGGACATTAAAAATAAACCATAATATTTGGTAAATGGAAATGTTATGTTAAAAATAGATTCAATAAAAAATGAGATTACATGGTGACCCTAATTAAATTAAAAGCAAGAAAGGAAGAGGAGATTAAGATGGTGACACAATTTTTTTTCTAGTAGAACATATTAGAATATTCCAAAGAAATCTTTTACAAATTTAAATAAGGTGGGCATTCGCCGAATGCGATCCCAAATCATCAAATTAGAGCGTTATCTACATTGGAACAAATTTTCGGCAAGCCTGCATGAAAATCTGGGCCAATATTGATAATTTTTGATAGAAAATTTTGTTACAGAATATACATAAAACGTCAGACGTATTGGTATATTGGTAATTGACAAGACATTTTTTAAACAAATCTACACTGGCAGGTCGGGTATTCTTTGGGAAAGCATTTTTAAAAAAATATCCACGCTTGTAGTTCGGATAGAGCTTAGGAATGTGTTTTTTAACAAGTCACTTTGATAAGTCCATGTGAAGTATTTTTAAAAACGTCAGCCTAGCTCTGTGAGACTATCGGAAGACCATGGGGACAATCCAATATTTTCTTCAAAGAGGTATTGCCTCGGAAACATGGATTTTTTAATATTTCTTCAAATACAAATAGATGTGCTCGTCTATAAAGGCTTCCTGGCTCTCAGCTCTTCTATATAGTTTCGTCTTGTCTAAGTAGACTCCCTGGCCCTTCAGCTCGTTTAAATAGACTCCCTGGTCATTCAGCTCGTCTAAATAGACTCCCTGGCCCTTTAGCTCGTCTATATAGACTCCCTGGCCCTTCGGCACGTCTATATAGACTCACTGGCCGTTTAGCACGTCATATACTCCCTGGCTCTTTAGCTTGTCTATATATACACCCTGGCCGTTTAGTCCATACTGGTCCATTGGTCCATAATAAATTATTTATTACTTACTTAAAAACTAATCACTGTTTTCTCTTTCCTTCATTTCAGATAATTTGTCATTAAATTTGGATAACCACAACTATAAATAAAGATGACATAACCCCCTCAAAAAATACGAAGTGTAAAACTTCAATTCTCTGGCCGTGGAGAATTTAGAATTAAACATAATAAGTATACTGTGATAAAAAAAATAGAAGTCGTGAACAAATAATACTAAAACAAAAATGCAGCTCCATAATATTAATAAATTAGCAATTAGCGTCAGCATTTGTCTGCTGTTTACATTGAATTTATTGTTGTTGTCGACAACAGCGATAGCGGCCAAAGAAAATATACCAACATACTATGAGGAGGAGGAGGCGAATGGTCATCGGCCTAGTTCCAGAGATACCGAACAACATCATAGGCAGCAAAGTCAACAACAGAATCATCATCATCAGCAGCAAAAAAGTGCACATCACTATCAACAAGACCAGCAACAGCAACATCATCAACGCCATCAGCAACAAAGACAACAACATCATTATCAGCCACAGCAGCAGCAACATCATCAACACCAACAACAACATCAAAAACATCATTCACAAACAGCACAACATCACGAGGGCCATCAACGACAGGCTCGACAACGTAACTCCGGTCCGGGTCCACAAACATCAAAACGTTTCTCCCGAGACTCACAGGCTTCGAGCCGTAAACCTAACATCATTCTTATTCTAACCGATGATCAGGATGTGGAATTGGGTTCGTTGAATTTTATGCCACGCACTTTACGCATTCTGAGAGATGGTGGTGCTGAATTCCGCCATGCCTATACAACAACACCAATGTGTTGTCCCGCCCGATCGTCGCTACTCACCGGAATGTATGTTCACAATCATATGGTCTTCACGAATAACGACAACTGTTCCAGTCCTCAGTGGCAGGCCACACATGAAACGCGATCATTTGCTACATATCTATCGAATGCCGGTTATCGAACTGGTTATTTCGGAAAATATCTGAATAAATATAATGGTTCCTATATACCACCGGGTTGGCGGGAATGGGGTGGCCTCATTATGAATTCGAAGTACTATAATTATAGTATAAATATGAATGGTCAAAAGATAAAACATGGATTTGATTATGAGAAGGTAAGTGGGACCATGATAAATTTTAAAACAGCATGTATAAAAACTCCCTGGCCTTTCAACCCGTTTATAAAACCACCCTGGATCATATATGTAGACTCCCTGACCTTTAGATCTTACACTTCTGGCCTAAAGTTGTCCTATAAAGACTTCCTGGTCCTTGTCTTCGCCTACAAGTTTCCCTGGTCCTTCAGCTCGTATATGAAGACTTCCGGACCCGTTAGCTCGTCTTTAAAGGTTACCTGCCCCTTCACGTTATCTATGAATATTCCATGACCCTACAGGTAGTATATACAGACTCCCTAGCCCTTCAGATAATCTATAAAGACTGTCTGGCCCTTCAGCTCGGCTATAAACACTTCCTGACTTTTTAACCCATCAGCTTGGCTATAAACACTTCCAGACTCTCTGACCCGTCAGCTCGTCTAAAAAGGCTACCCTTACCTATGAGTATTCCCTTACCCTTAAGGTAGTCTATACAAACTCCCTGGGCCTTCAACTCGTCTATAAAGACTTCATGGCTCTTCAAACCGTATATAAAGTCTCTCTGACCCATCAGTCTCTGAATACTCCCTGTCCCTAAAGCTTATCTACGAATATTCCCTGACCCTTCAGAAAGACTCCCTGGGCCTGCCCTTTATCTCACTTATCAGGACCCCTTGCCCCTTAGCTCGTTTATAAAGACTTCCCGACCTTCAGCTCGTCTAAAAAGACTCCGTGCCTAAAACACTTCCTGTCCTGCAGCTCATCTATAAATGTTTATAAGACATTCAGTTCGTCTATAGAATCTCATCCAGGCCATAAAGACTTCCAGGCTATTCGTCCCATTTATAAGGACCTCCTGGCGGGTCAATAGGATTCCCCTGACCCTTCAGTTCCCAGGCCCCTGAGATACTCTGTAAGATACCCTGTGGTCCTTCAGTTAAGAAAAAGATTTCCTGGCCTTTTGGCCTATACAGATTATCTGGACATTCAGTTCGATCATGGCTCTAAAGCTTGTCCCCCTGACCTTCATCCCTTTGGTCCGTCTATAAAGACTCCCTGATCTTCAGATCTTATACACAAAACTGCTGGCCGAAAGTAAAGACTCCCTGGTCCGTCAACTATTGGCTTCCTGGCCTTTAGCTCATTTGCAAAAGACAACCTGCCCTTCAGCTCGTTTATAAAGACAGCTCGTCTATTAAGACTCCCTGGTTCTTCAACTCGCCTATGAAATCTTTCTGGCCTGCAGCTCGCCTATAAAGGTTCATAGGACCTTCAGTTCTTCTAAATAGTCTCATCCCGTCCATAAAGACTTCCTGGCCCTTCATATCGTCTATGAAGACTCCCTGCTCCTTCAGCTCATCTATAAAGACTCCCTGAACTTCAGATCTTACACACAGAACTTCTGGCGTAAAGTAGCTCTTTAAAGACTCCTTAGTCCTTCAGCTCGCCTATAAATACATTCTGGCCTGCAGCTCGTTTATAAAGGTTACCTAACCCTTATAAACAATCTCAGGACCTTCAGCTCGTATCTAAAGACTCCCTGGCCACTCAGGTCACCTATAAAGACACTCTGCCCATCAGCTCTTACTTCCTGACCCTACGCCATGTCTATAAATGCTCTCAGTCCCTCCAGTTCGTCAATTAAAAGTCCCAGACCCTTCACGCTTTCTATAAAACATTCCTGTCCTTCAAGTTCCAATTGAAAATATTTCTTCAACAATTTAAATTTTTTTATTTACCCCTCTATTCTTTTTTTCTCCCCCGCCACATATAGGATTACTATCCAAATTTGATAGCCAATGATTCTATAGCATTTTTGAGATCATCAAAACAACAAAACCAAAGAAAGCCTGTGATGTTAACAATGAGTTTTCCGGCACCGCATGGACCCGAAGACTCGGCGCCCCAGTATAGTCATTTATTTTTCAATGTGACCACACACCAGTAAGTCTCCACCTCTACTCCAGCAATACTCAGATATTCAAATATTTAAAAACATCTTCCAATTTTTGCAGCACCCCATCCTATGATTTGGCCCCAAATCCAGATAAACAATGGATTCTGAGAGTTACCCAACCCATGGAACCGGTACATAAACGTTTTACCAATTTGCTAATGACGAAACGTCTACAGACTTTACAGAGTGTAGATGTTGCCGTGGAGAGGGTCTACAATGAACTGAAGTCACTGGGAGAATTGGATAACACCTACATTATCTACACCTCCGATCATGGTTATCATTTGGGTCAATTCGGTTTGATAAAGGGTAAAAGTTTTCCCTTCGAATTTGATGTAAGGGTACCATTTTTGGTGCGTGGTCCTGGTATACAACCCTCGAAGGTGTAAGTAAAAATATGAAATTAATTTTAATTATAAATCCGTTAATCGTATATCCTCTTCTAGGGTTGAAGAAATCGTTTTAAATGTCGACTTGGCGCCCACCTTCTTGGATATGGGTGGTGTTCCCACACCACCACACATGGATGGCCGAAGCATTTTGCCGCTACTCCTGAATAGACAAAAATTCATGAAAGAACCCTGGCCGGATTCGTTCCTTATCGAAAGTTCTGGTCGCCGTGAAACACCAGATCAAATAGCTGAGGCCCGTGCTCGTTTGCAGGCCGAACGTAACAGTATGAAACTGGCCAATAGCACATTACTGGAAGACCTTCTTGAGAATATAACAATATCCACGACAACGGCCCGTATGGATATTGTGGAAATGGAATCACGAGAGGAGGATCTATTCGGAGAACATGGTAAAGATAATTTGTGTTTGTGAAGCGTCTCAACGAGAATCAAGTTCAATAATGATAGATAGGAAAATCTCTATGGAATGACAAAAAAATTAGAGGAGAGAACTGAGGAAAGGCTCTACGAAGAAAAGAAGCAAATCTCTAGAAGAGCTTAAAGAGAATGTCGAATGTTTTAGTCAATCTGAAGTTCAAGTATTCTGTTATATAGAACTGAAGTTCAAGGACTTTTTGTAGATAATATGGAGTTCAGGGGGGTCTTCTTAGACGAGGTGAATGTTAGAAAGCCTTAGTAGGATTTATGAACTAATGGTCAAGATTATTCATATGCGATATGAAGATCGGGAAGACATGTCGAAGGTCAATGGGTCTTGTTAGACGTGGTGGAGTTCAATGAGCACAGATATGCATTTTAAAATTCAAGGGGTCGTTATAATCGAGCATGAAGAGCAGGACGCAAGAGAATTTTTATAGAGCCAGAGATTATTCATTGAGAAACTGTAGGGCCAGGAGCCTTTATAGAGCTGATGGGCCAGAGAGTACTTATATAGATGCGAGAAGTGCAGGGAGTATTTATAGACGGGCCAGAATCTTTATAGAGGATCTGTAGTGCCTATAGAGACTTCCTGGTCTTTTGTCCTCTCTATAAAGTCCCCCTGCGATTCAGTTCATCCACAAATCAGCTTCAGCTTGGCTAAAAAGACCCGTTAGCTCTTAAAAAAAAAAACAAGTGAAAAAGCGTTAAGTTCGGCCGGGCCGAACTTTGGATACCCTCCACCATAGATACACTGACAGGTACAAGTAATGAAAACATAGGGAACATACCAAAAAGGGGACTTATACCGACATTTGTAAAAACGGATTATGTAAACCATAATACAAATTTCAGATTTTTTAATGGATAATTATACCCTCAGCCTTATGGCTAATGAGGGTGTATACACTTTAACACGGTGCATATATGGGGACTACCCCAAAAAGGGGGCGAATATTAATAAATTTTGGTAGGGAGTTTCGCTACTATAAACAACTATAAAATACCAATTTGCAGCGAATTCGATTGAAAAACGCGCTCAAGAACCCCAAATTACCGAAAATTTGGTGTTACTCTTATATGGGGCCTACCCGAACAAATGTACCTATATTCATAATTTTTTGTGGAAATACTTATAACCTATTAAGAACCCAAATACTAAATTACAGCCAATTCGATGGAAAAATACGATCAAAACCCCCAAAATACTGAAAATTAGGAGGTGCCGTTATATGGGGGCTACCAGAAAAAGTGGACCTATATTTATATTTTTTGTGGAGACATTTAGTACCCAATAGGAACCCAATGTACCAAATTGCAGCGAATTCGGTTGATAAACGCGCTCAATAACCCGAAAATACCGAAAATTGGGCGTTACCCTTATATGGGGCCTACCCGAACAAATGGACCTATATTCATAATTTTTTGTGGAGATACTTGGAACCTATTAAGAACTCAAAATACTAAATTACAGCCAATTCGGTGGAAAAATAGATCAACACCCCCAAAATACTGAAAATTAGGTGGTACTGTTATATGGGGACTACCAGAGAAAGTGGACCTGTATTTATAATTGGTTGTGGAGACATTTGGAACCCAAAAAGAACCCAATGTACCAAATTTCAGCGAATTCGGTTGAAAAACGCGCTCAAGAACCCCAAAATACCGAAAATTGGGGGGTACCCTTATATGGGAGCTATGCCTAAACGGGGACCGATAAAGCCCATCTTCGAACTTGTCCTGCCTGCAGGACAAGTTCGAAGTTGGCGATCTATGTCAATTCGTTTAGACGCTAAAGTGATTACAACAGACAGACGGACATGGCTATATCGTCATAGAATTTTACGCTGATTAAGAATATGGGGTCGGAAATGATTATTTCGATAAGTTACAAACGGAAAAACAAAAATGAATATACCCAAAAATTAATAGACAGCATGACCTCCTTCAGCTCATCTATAAAGACCCCCTGGCCCTTCACCCCGTCTATTAAAACTGCTAGGTCATTCATCTAGTCAATGTAGACTCACTGGTCCTTAACTCCGTCTCATAGGACCTTCAGTTAATCTATAGAGAATCATACCGTCCATAAAAACTCCGAAGTCTTTGATTTAAAAACTCCCAGGGCTTCAGCTGGAGGGCCAGGGAATCTTTATGAAGGAACTGGAGAGCCAGTAATTCTTTATTGAGGAACTGTAGCGCCAGGAAGTCTTTATAGCTGGAGGGTCATGGAGTCTTTATAGAGAAACTGGAGTGCCAGGGAGTCTTTATAGAGCTAAAGGACCATAAGGTCCTTATCAAGAAGTTAGAGGGGCAGGGACGATAGAGGGCCAGGGAGTCTTTGTAGAGGAATTGTAGGGCAGAAAGTATTTATAGAGGAGTTAGAGGACGAAGGTGTCTTTATAGTAACTGGAGGGATAGGCATGATTTATATACGAGCTGGAGGGCCAGGGTATCTTTATAGAAGAGCTGGAGGGTCAGAGAGTATTTATAATTGAGCTAGAGAGTCATGAATTCTTTATAGAGGAACTGGAGGGCCACGGAGTCTTTATGAGGAGTTGGTCATGGAGTCTTTATAGAGTGGCTGGAGGGACAGGGAGTATTTTTAGACAAGTTGAAGGGTAATGTGTCCTTTTCGACGTCCAGAACGTCCGTTCAGGAAGTCTTTATAGAAGTTCTGAAGACCACGGAGTCCTTATGGACGCTCTAAAAATCATTCATTTAAAAAGAATCCAATTGAGTCAATTTTTCTCAAAAATTTCTAATCGTATCCCTTTTTCTGATTTACAGATACTGACAATGAAGAAATTACCGATGATGATTTCGAATTTGAAAATGATGAAGATGAGACGGATACCTCAGCTGCTATTAACGAAGAGGAGGAGGATAACGATGCCACAAATGATGAACTCGAACAACAAGATCAATTTGATAATAATCTGCCATTGACCCCGTATAATACAAAAATGATGCGTTTAAATTCGGAATGTTCTGATCCAAGTCTCTTGGAAGATTGTAGAGCTGGGCAAAAATGGAAATGTGTTAATGAGAATGGAAGATGGCGGAAACATAAGTGTAAATTTCATGTAAGGGACTTATATGACCTAGAGAAGGGAAATGAAATTAATTGACTTTCTCTTTAGCTCCAATTGCAGCATCATTTGGCAGAAATATCCAAATACCCAAAGAATCAAAATAAACGTAATTGTGCTTGCTTTACACCAGATGGTGTGGTCTATATTAAACCTGAAGTTCGGAAGAGGTAAGGATTTGAATAGATATTGAAGATTCTGAATAATAAAAATTGTGTTTTTAATTTTAGGAACCAAAACTTTGGTAAAAATTCCCGACGCCACAAACGTGACACTGAGAATTTCGATATCGAGGAACTCTACCATTCTGAGCTGCCCTATGAAATGGAAGAATTATTGGATATCCATAAAAATGTACACAACCTCGAGCAGTATCTTTTGGAGCAACATAAAAAGAACGCTGAAAAGTTATCAAGGCCCAAAAGAGAACTTACGGCACATTTATTCGAAAATCCTGAAAATTTAAATAGTGAAGAGAATAAAAAGAACAACGCTTCCAATGATGCCATCTCCAAAGTTATACAAGAAATTCAGGATACTTTGGAAACATTGGAGCTGAAATTTGTTGAACATGACTGGACGGTGAATAGTACCTCAAAGACATCGGCCACCAAAATGACTTCGGCTGGATTTGTACGAGGCGGAAAATTCCCCAAAGTGGGTGGTCGTGTCGGTACTCGTTGTTATATTGAATCTCAAAGTGGTAAAGTCAATTGTTCCGATGTTATTTATGATGACGAGAAGACATGGCGTAAATCGCGATCACAAATTGATATGCTTATCAAGGTATTGAAGGATAAAATTACCCATTTGAAGGATATCAAGAAGCAATTGAGGGAAAGCAAGCAGCAGCAACAGCAAGGGCGTTATTGGAATAATGAATTCGTCAACAACAACAACAATCGGGGAGATCAATACAATAATGGGGAAGCGAATACCAATGCTTATGGCTCGGGATATCGTCATCAAAAGGGTCGTCATCGTGGCCAACAGCCTCAGTCTCAACATGGTTATAATCGTTATCACAACAATGCGGGAGTTATGGGTAATCCCATGTACTCCTCCGCTGGAAACAGCGCTGGAAGGAGACGAATCATTGTATCGAATGTTGAGAATCCTGAATTCGATATGAACTATTTTACTAGTACTTCACGCAGAACCAATTATGAGGAGATTATGACCTCGACACAGAAAAACAAACATCGCAATAATCAAGTGCCAAATACATATACGACCACAACTCTGCCAGATGGTCCAAATAAAAATACCCCATGGAGAAGTACATCGGATGAAGGTAGGGTTTTTGGCAATATGGAATCAAATGTTAAAATTTCCTTTGATTTTTGTTTCCAGTTTCCCAAGGTAGCTATGAAGAATCCAGCTATCCAAGTTCCACCTCGGAGAGCATAGCATCCAGTTCGGAAATGGGCCACAGAACTAAACCCAAACATCGAGGACAGAAGGAAGAAGTCAAAGAAACATATTACAATTCTAGGCATGATACTGGCAATACTCAATTTTCAGGACCAGCTGAATGTTATTGTGAACCGGATACAGAGTAAGTAATATGCCAGGTAAAGACATCGTCAAGTTCGGGCGAGGCGATCTTTTTAGCGAAATGGAGTCTCTATAGACGAGCAGAAGGGATTCGCTATAGACGAGCCGATGGAAGTCTCTATAGACGAACCAAAGGGAGTCTCTATAGACGAGCCGATGTAAGTGGCTATAGACGAGTCGATGGGAGTCGCTTTAGACGAGCCGATGGGAGTCGCTATAAACGAGCCAAAGGGAGTCTCTATAGACGAGCTGAAGGGAGTCTCTGTAGACGAGCTGAGGGTACTCTCTAAAGACGAGATGAAGGCAGTCTCTAAAGACAAGCTGAAGGCAGTCTCTATAGACGAGCTAAAGGGAGTCTCTATAATGATCTCTATAGAAGATCTGAAGGGACGAAGTGAAGGGAGTCTTTATAGTCGAGCTGAAGGGAGTCTTTATAGTCGAGCTGAAGGTCCATATAGACGAGCCGAACAGAGTCTTTATAGACGTGCCGAAAGAAGTCTTTATAGGCGAAGGGAGTCTTTATAGACAAGCTGAAGGAAGTCTTTATAAGCGAGCTGAACGAAATCTATCTGTTCTCCCATTTTTAAATTGTTCTTACGTGGCGCCCAACAGGGGGCCATTCAAGCCGGATAAATGTGGCCCTAAGGGGCTTTTATATACGAGCTGAATTGAGTCTCTTTAAAAGAGCTGAAGGCAGGGCCATACAAAACTCATTTATACGATCCGTATGTAGTTTTTATAGACGAGCTGAAGGGAGTCGTTATAGACTAGCTAATGGGATTCTGAAGGAATTCTTTTTTATTTGTTCTTACATGGCGCCCAACGTGGGACTTGTGTAGACCAGCTTTAAGTAGTTCGACTTTTTACAGATGCCCCAAAGAGAGAAAGAGAGGGAATTTAATAAACTAGCGTCAAGTTGGACGCCATTATTTTAAATATCGAATATTTCATTCAGTTTTGAATTTTATTCTTATTCTTTTCCTCTTTTTAGTTATCAAGATTCCAAAGAAATTGCGCGAGAGGCCAGACGCAAATTGAAGGAGGAAAGGCAACGCAAAAAGGAAAGGAAACGGATCAAGAAGGCACGCCTGGAAAAGGAATGTCTATCGGAGAAAATGAATTGTTTTTCGCATGACAATACTCATTGGCGTACCGCCCCGTTATGGAATGATAGTCCATTCTGTTTCTGTATGAATGCTAATAATAATACTTATTCCTGCCTAAGGACCATAAATGCCACACACAATTATTTATATTGTGAATTTACGACGGGACTAATAACATTTTATGATTTGAAAATTGGTAAGATGATAACCTCAAAAATTTAAAAACTAATTTCGAATTATAATAAAATCCGCTTTCAGATCCCTTCGAAACTTTAAATCGCGCCTCATCGCTTACACAGGCTGAGAAGTCGTATATGCATGATACATTGGCCAAACTCAAAAGTTGTAAGGGCAAAAGTTGTACCATTAAACGTACAGTGACAGTTGTAAATTCGAACAACTCCACCAGCTCAAATAGTATTATACAAAGAGGCACGAAGCGGAAACATGGTAAGTTTTGTGGAAAATCGTTTTGAATAAAAGGGATATTCATTTTTTCTATTTTATTATATAGTTTCCAGTTTAATAACCTCATCACTGAATGGCAATTCCGATTTTGTTTCCAATCGCATGGATTATGAAGGATCACCGACAAAACGCAGGAAATTGTCAAGGTATGTTGGAATTTAAAGGGAAGATAATGATCGGGTAATCTTCATAAGCGAGCTTGATGATAAAATACTCTTAGTTCTCTTATGGTCCATGAGAAAATATTCTTAAAAACCTCATCTTTATTTTTCTGAAGATCCTTGAGAAAATCCTCTTTAAAAATCTATTCTTTAAAAACCAGTTTTTTGATATTAGAGTTTTTGATATATAGGGGCTGATAAGAAGTCCTTTTCTATGAGCTGCAGAATAACAGAATATTTATGCAGAAGCATTTAAAGACGAGCTGAAGGGTTGGGAGTTTTAATATAAGATACCCTTCACCACTATGGGTATATTAAGCAGGACTATTAACATGAAATTGAATGAAATAAAATATGTGATATTTATGTAAATGTGAATCTACCTAGATATATCCATAAAGTATGTAAATCGACTTCAAACAAATAAAATAGGTCATCCGTTGGGCTATGTCTGTACTTCTAGAAAACGCAACTGCGTAATTCTATGCTCAATTTTGTAAGTTGTGCAAAAATTGATGTCAAACTGACTAACAATTTACTTGAAATCGGGCGAAAATATATATGGAAGCTCTATCCAAATATTAAGCGATTTCAAACAAACTTGTCACATGTTACGTTATACTAATTTCAGAACGTTTCGTTCCTATCAGCCTATTGGTTCCTTGGTGCGTCAATTACTTAAAATAAATCTATATTAAAAGGGAGCTATATCTAAATCTGGACCGATTTTCTCGAAAGTTGGCAGACATTATTCTAGGCTCAATTCAGTACGTTATACTAAATTTCGTGCAAATCGAAAGATATATAGCGACTTTGTTGTACCATTTACATGAAATCGGACGAAACTATATATGGAAGCTATATAGAAATCTGGACCGATTTTCTCAAAACTTGACAGACATCACTCTAGGCTCAATTCAGTACGTTATGCCAAATTTCGTGGAAATCGAAGGATATATAGGGACTTTGGTGCACCATTTATATGAAATCGGACGAAACTATATATGGGAGCTATATCTAAATCTAAACCGATTTTTCCCAATTTCAATAGGGTTCGTCCTTGGGCCGAATAAGTGACCTATGCCAAATTTCATCCAATTCGGATCATAAATGCGACCTGTACTTTGTTTACAATTTAACATGCACAGACAGACATGCACATATTCTCAAAAGGAACCATGTGTCTATCTCGTTTCCTTTTGCCTGTTACAAACATATGCACAAAGACATAATACCCTGTACCACAGTGTGGTGAAGGGTATAAAAATGTTCCTTGTTGAAATATAAGCACATATTTTGGAAAACTTCAGACATTTATTTTTCACTTATTTAAAATATTAATAATTTCTCTTTATTTTAGCCGCTGGCCACCGAGCTCCACCACCGCAAACAACAACAATAATAATATAAGGCGTAAACAATGGAAGCTGCAACATGTAAATCATCAACAACAACAGCATTCCTATTATAATCCCCATCAAAAGAGTCAACATTTAAGACCATCAGCATATAATACTAATCACCACAATAGGATGGTGCCTCATCAACAGCGGCAACAACACCATCATCAACAGCAGCACCAACAACATCAGTCACCACAATCTATGGCCTCTGAACGTGGTAATAGTATTCGAAGAAATCGTTTTCATGAGGAGGACACCCAACGCTATCAACACAATGCTGAAGTTAAAAAATCAATGGCAATAGGATCACCATCACCACCTCAATCATCCGCATCATCTCCAACAGCACCAAATGCCACAGTGACAACAATGCAACAACACAAAGAGGCCAAGGATAATGTGATGGGTGGTGGTGTATTGTATAAAGACATCAACAGCAATAATAGTAGCACAACTTCACATGCAGATTCTGCAGCGGCTGCAGATGCAAACAATTCCAATTGGATGCCATCTTCCTCTTCAACACCAGTGCCATCATCCGATACAGTAGCAGATGCTGGACCATCGGCATCTTCATCATCATCATCATCATCACTTTTGCCACTGGATAGTGATGGTGATGATGCTGAATTTTTGAAAATGCATAAAAAACAACAACAGCAACCAATGACCACATTACCCGAATTAAGTCTGTAGTTAAGTATTTAAATTGTGAATTCCTTAAATTATTTTCGATTAAGCAAAGAAAAAATAACAAATTATCCCAAAAAGAAAAACGAAACTGCAAATTTTGTCATTAGAATATTTAAAAGTTAACAAAAACAACAACAACAAAACTATGCGCATTATTTAGGCAGAAAAAGCAAAGTGAACCAAAAACCTCGATGGATCCTTTAATAATAAAGTACAATGCGGACATTAATGGGTGGCTAGGCAGGTGATTGATTTTTGCCAGGAAGGAAATATTCCAAAGAGAAGGCTGTACCCTAGATTATCAAATATAAATCGGAGCTTTGCTAAGGATTTGAATGTGTATTAAGTATTCGATATTATCAAAACCTTTTATTGCTGGCAATGATGAAATAGAATAATAACACTAGATATTGTCCTACTTTCCCATTGCGGTTAATAAGCCAGAAGCATCCCACAAATATCTGCATTGTCCATCCCAACCAAATTTCATTCCCTTCCTTCCTCCCTCCATCAGAAAAAAGGAAACAAAAAAATCCAACTAAGACGTCCGCTCAAAATGAACATCAAGAACAACAACAAAAATGTTTAAAATGATATTAACCGAAATTCGAAATTATTTATATATACATACATATGTAGTAATACACGAACAATGAATATATTATTATGTATATGCTCATTATTTATTAGAGAATTTAAAAACAAAATAATAATAATTAATATAGAAAAAAAATTAAGCGCTCCTTTCAACAACATATCCGCCAACTGCATATCTATAAATCTCTTCTAGACAAAAACAAATACATTAATTACATTAAATGATTTATTATTATTGTTGTTGTTAGATAACCCAATGAAATCTGCAAAGAAACAAGCAAACAAAACGAACACATAACCTATAATTCATAAAAAAAAACTAATTGGTATTTATAAGATTTTTTGTATGTGAAAAGTTATCATGGTGTGCGTATGAAATATTTTTGAAAAGAACCAGACGAGAGCAATTTTATAAACGAACAGAAGGTCAGGATATCTTATCTGAATGTCGGAGTCCTTCTAGAGATCCTGTGAATCTTTAAAACAGCTCTTAGACCATCTGAAGACCTGGTAAAATAGTTCAGGGAATTTTTTTAGAAAATATAAAAATTATTATATTTTTCCGACCTATGAATAAGTTATTATAGAATTTATTCTTTATGGACGATTAAGGGGACCCCCCATTCTCGGGGTAAAAATGTCCCTACAAAATTTCAAGTGAAAATCTCAAGAACTCTTGAAGATATATATAGATTTATTGTGACAGCATCAAGTGGCGGCTAAAGGGCTTCTCAAACTTTAAACACGTTTTTCTCTTTTGCGAATGGCGGGCACGATAACTCAAAAACTAATAACCCAATCGATACCAAATTTTTACACGTTTCTCTGTGAGTGTATAGCTCTCGTATGAACTAGGATAAAGCCAATCGGCGAAGATCTTCCTTATTTTTTAACTTGGTTTTTGATCAAAAATCGGCGATTTTTCAAAAATATTTTTTCAAAGGTCCGCCATTTTGTTAATTTTAGAGGGAAGTCAATAATCCTAGTTCATACGAGAGCCACACATGTACTCTTTCTAACACCGTTGGAATTTTCGGATTCCGATGTTCCAGTGAGGAGTTGTCATGCCCGCCATCAAAAATAAGGACTTTTCTTTAATTACAAAAAACAACAACAAAACAATAATTTTTTTTTGTAAATAATTGTTCCTCTCTTTTAAATCTTCAAAGCAAAGCAAAGTTACAAACCTTAACAAACTTTGGTATTGATTTACCAGCCCATAGAAAATCTTGAAAAATTAAAATCGAGAATGGGTGGGGTTCCCTTAAAGGTTAGGTAGGTTGTCATGACTTGATTCATTCATTTATATTCATTTACAAAATAAAACAAAGCATGGAGTCCTTATATGTGTTTCCCCTTTAAAGACACGAAGTCTATGTAGAGTTTTTAGGATAGAACTCAATGTCAGGGAGTCTTTATTGTCCAGTTGAAAGGCTCTGATACATAAAGTCTTCATAGTCGAGCTGAAGCCTTACGTGTCTTTATATAATAGTTGAAGGCTATGTTCAATCTATAAACATACTGAAGGTCAAGGTGTATTTGGAGAAGCTGGAGAATAGAAATTCTTTATATCCGAGCTGAAGGTCAAGCAATTTTTATGAGCGATTTAAAGGTTAGACGAGCCGAGAGATAGGGAGTTTTTTAATCCGAGCTGAAGAACAAGGAGTACTTGTTGGCGAGCTAAAGGGCCGGAAGCACTAGAAGAACTGAATACTATTGAGTCTTTAGGGGCGAATAAAATGTCAGGGAGTCTTTATATACCTGAAAGACGGAGAGTTTTTGTGGGCGATCGAAGGGTAGGTTATATACTAAACTGAGTGAAATAAAGTCTTTAAACATCTAAAGGTAGGGGAGTCAGTTTTAAAGATATTCGGGAAATCTTTATAGGCACCCTGAAAATCATGGTATTTTCATAGATAGACTAAGATACATAAAGCCCATATGGTCGAGCTGAAGGCAATGTAGCTTTTATTAACGATCTGGATAGCAGAGCGTCTTTGTAGACGGGCCGAATGACTGGGAGGACATATAGTCGAGCTGAAGGACAGGGAGGACTTTTAGACGATCTAAATGACAGGCTGGACTTTACAGGACAGGTAATCTTTATAGAAAGGTAGGTTGGCATTAAAGTCATAATGAAAACCATAATGACTTTATAGGCAATTGTAAAACAATCACTAGTCAATTTGAGGTCCATTGTACTGAAGAAAGAGCCGTCCCTAAAGTGATTTTCATATCTCGTGACGTTAGAACACAGGTCAGATAGTTTTTTGAAATCCTGCATCCAAGTTCCTCTGGCCTATGCTGCAGGCTTTTTCGGAGTAGCTGTTTTGGATTTCCCCAATGAAATATCCAATTGGAGGTTGTATAGATCCTTCATCGGTACATCGGTAGACTGGACGACTGCAAAACCTTTCGAGCAAGCTCGTGAGCTATTTCATTCCCATCTATGTCACTATGTCTTGGAACCCAACAAAAATTAACTTTCAGTCGTCAATTATCCAGAGCATCTTTACCGTCAAGAGCGCCTTTTGAATTTTCAGTACACGACTTAAGGGCCCCCTGACAATCGACATACGAAGAGAAATTAAAGGTCGGATTGTATTATCGACAGACTGAGAACAAAAAAAAAAATGTTCAAGTCCGGTGTTATTTATAGGCGAGATTAAGGCCAATGTATTTACGATAGGTAACTACGAAGACATGGATTATGTATTTATTTGCATTAGTTTAGGTGGCAACCTCTAGTCGAAGTCTTTCTTCAAGTCAATCCGGTACATAGAAAAAGTGATCAAAAAGTCTATAAGGCATATCTGAATAACATTCATACTAACTATGTCGCCCAGTTACAAGGCAGTACAAGAATACCATCCATAATAGCAGATGAGAAACAAATGCCGAGTAGTGTTAGCAAAGCTATAATCAGGATGGTGCAACCGCATCAATTTATGTTGGGCACGAATTTATGCCTAGGTGTTTCTTTATCCAGCTGAATTCCTTTGCGCTGATCATATTGGGATCGTTATCTACGTATCACTGGCAATAAGAAATTTTCTTTCGAAAGGCCTTTTCATCCATCGATTCTTTTGGCTTGGCACTTTGGGTGCAGGAGCCGTCAGCTAAGGTTCCACAGTTGCTTTGAAGCACTCACTTTTAACTTCAGTCCCTTTAGAAGCCGTTTGCCTCAGAAATAATGGCCTGTAGATGTATTTACGACGGGTTCTGCTTCGGAGGTGTCCATAGCTGACATATTTGACGTCGTCTGTCGATTTGAGGATAGAGTATTGATGACGGTGACATCAGCATTATCCTATGTCGCTTAGGCGGAAGCTGCCATATTCTTCAATGAGACTGGAGATGGATTCACGATGTCGGGTCAAATTTTCATTTATGTCGCCAAGATCGATGCAGAACACTAAACACTTATCCTCGTCGGTCTAGAAGATAATTGCCAATCGGTCATTTCCTCCGAGAACCTCCCTTTGAAACCGCTGACTTTCCACTACTGTTTATTTAATTCACAGCTACGCAGTAAACAGAATTGGTCTTTCCACTATCTGCAACCTGTTGACGCGTCCGATAGCATTCAGATATGCTTCCGATCACAGGTATTAGCTTAAGTAGTTCTGAAATAGCGTTTTTTTAAAATTAATTCCGTGATCGGCGAAGAGAAGATGTGACAACGTTTTCTTCAAGCGTTCCCTAAAGTAAGGTATTTCGGATTTTATTCTACAATACGCATAAAGGAAGTATGGTAAATACGGGTCAAATTACATGTTAGTTGATGTAATGCAACCCTGTGGTCGTTATCACATTTCTGCAACTCAGAAGACATGATTCTTGTCCATGCTACATACACGACCGCGCCATCTGACGGTAATTGTCAGAACTAAAATATAATTTGCTACCATTTTGACAATGTGCCCATATATACCCTACTTATACAGGTAGTATTGCCTCGGCTGGAATAAAATATCCACTTCGGAGTCAGGAGATTGTCACATTACGCAAACGAAGAGATGTTGGTGGATACCCAAATAGCTCAGATCAAATTAGATTTATCAACGTACATGCGGCTGTTTTCTTCTGTAACATTTTATACGAGTTGGCTGAAATATGTTTCGACGTAACATGGATGGATATAGCAAACGTGTACCCTGTGATATCTTTTCATATAATAAAAAATAAATCCCACATACATTTCAATTAGTCCTTATGATTAAAAACAATAATTAAAAACTACTATTCTAAACTATTATTGTTGATCTGCTGTAGAAATTTGTAGTATAATGCTATACTAAAAATGGAAGTCCAAGGCAGGCATCATGCGTGGCATTGACATACAATGGTTGACATTCACAAAAAGGTGAATTGATGGCAATGGCGGTACAGTATAGCAATGCACA